GACGTTGCTTCACTGGCCCAAGTTGGCACCATCATTGCGCTCTTCCCGGGCAAGGCAGATCAGTCGCCGGCTTCTGGACGGCCACCCACGGTGGCTGCTGGCCACTCACGCTGGCTGCTGGCTACACACGGTAGCCCATGGCAACCCACTGTCACAGGGACTGCAGCCTACGACGTGACTGCGGGCGACTCATGGCAGCCCAGCTCCAAGTTGAGCTGTCGTTCAGCATCTTAGCTGTAGAGGGCAGTGTCACTGGCCCTCATATGTAGGATCCGAACCAGGGCCCTCTGGCGTCCCAAGCCAGCTCTTAAGCAATGCGCCACTCGGCCGGTCCCTCAGAATCCTTCTTAACACTGCACTGCTGACAGCAGCCACCAGTGGACTCGACCCATGTGTAGTGACCTCTTTGCTGGCTCTGGCTTAAGCGATGCCATAAAAGCTGTTATATGTCCCAGTTAAGTGGTCTTCAGAGTCTTCCCCTCAAGGAAGTAAAAACAAAGCCCCCAATTCTTAAGCTAGTGTTCAGAGAATGGGCACATGGCCATGAGCAGAGCACAGATCAGTCTCAAGTGGGCCTGGGTTTGACCTCTAGCTTGGCTACTTAGGAGCCGTGTGGCCTCTGGAAATTACTGACTTTCTCTGAGCTTCATATGTCGTGTGTATAGCAGTGGCCCAGTCAGCCGTTGGAGAGGTTGGATGAGGTGTGTGACCTGGCCCTCTGCCTGGCAACTATGTTTATTCTTGTTACTGTATCATTGAGAAAGGGGCAGGGAGAGGCCAGCCCTGTTGTGGGTACAGACCGAAACATCGGGGGTGGAGCGTGTGTCCTGCCCCTGACGGTCTGTGTGGTCTGTTCTCCAAACCCAACTCTTTTAAAAAAAATCTTCATGATTACTTAAGGTTATTACTAGACTCGCAGAAGTAATCTCTCTATCCTCCCTAAAAGTCCATCTTGTACATTTATTAAATATGTGGAGCATGACTTTGTTTTGTTTTCTAATAATTTCTATATTTTATTGTAGTATGGAGACATTTCAAGAGACGTTCAAGTAACTTCTGGGAATGGAGTAATTTTTCAGAAATGTGCTGTGGTAAGTGTTCACAGGTATTTTATATTTGACGGGAAAACAATTGGGTTTTGCTCAAATCATATATTAATAGGGTTATGTATTTAAGAACTGACAAATCACAGGGTTATCTACGCAGGTCTGGACACATGAGTGATGAGGTGACCTATAAGGGATTTAATGTGTTCTCTCACAGCACCGGGACTAAGATTTTTTTGGTAACAATTGAATTATTGTTAGTGAAAATCTTCTGTGATTATTTAGAATGGTAAAGAAAGTATGATATATTTTTCTGTCGGATTTTAACATCGATATGGTACTTGACAGTTTTAAAAGATATTTAATGTCTTTGAGAGCTTTAATCCTTATAATCCCATGAGATGGCTTTTCACATTATCCATGTGGTGGGGGCTCCCAAGACCACCCTCAGGTTCAGCGATTTACCAGAAGGACTAACAGAGCTCAGCCAAGCTGTTATGCTCACAGGTATAGTTTATTACAGCAAAAGGATACAGGTTAAAGTCAGCAGAGGAAAACACACGTAGGACAGAGAGCCGGAGAGAGAGCTCTCTGCTGTCCTTTCCTGGTGGAATTGCATGGATGGCATTTGATTTTCCCAGCAGTGATGTGTGATGTCAGCAAGGGACTCTCACTCGAGCCTTGGTGTCCAGGATTTTTATTGCAGGTCAGTCATGTAGGTGTGAGGCACCCGTGCAGCTGCCCTCAGTTACTCCGTCTCCAGCCCAGCCAGAGGTCACCCTGACACCGCCTGGCTCCAAGGCCCCACCCTGAGTCACATGGTGTGG